CCGCGGTCAGAAAAAAAACCCCCCCCCACGTGGGGGGGGGGGGGGGGGGGAACGGGGACGGACGACTCTTGCAGTCTACTTTGTTGTTTTTTTAGTGCAATACGAGAACCAGTATCGCAGGTCAAGTATAACAGAGGAGGAACAATCACTGTCAGAACCCTGCCTCTCCTAACAAAGAGGAAGTTGCTTAAATGTTCTCGATCTGCCCAAACGACTTAGGCTGCGGTCACACGGAGCATTAGCCACACTACAGAGACGGAAGATAGGCGGATTCTCCGGGTGCGATCACACTGACACATCTGGGAAGCGTAGAGCTCCCGTGGCTCACCTGAGGCTTCCCGCCGAAGATCCGGGGCAAAAAAGTAGTACCTCCAAGGTACTAGTTTCCGGAAACTGCGGGGCAAGGGCGGGCGTCTGATCGCGTTTCCGGTGGCATCCGGTGTCTGCCCATGTCCCCTTGCAAACAGGTCATTCCCCCCCCCCAAGTCTCCACGGATGCGCACAAGCACCCAACGGAGCATGCGCACACTTCAGTTTAAAAAAGTTTTAAAAACCCAACAACCCCGTTTGCTGCGCCGCCCCGCTTCTTTGCCTGTCATGTGATCGGCACCTCCCCCCTAGCCACGGGACCTTGAGGGGACCTCGACCGGACATCTGATTGCGCAGTCGCGTTAGTTTGCCCCGGGGCAAACAGCCACGCTTCCCCCCCGCATTTTCCAGCCCGTGTGACCGGGGCCATATTTATTCAAATAGTTATATCCCACTTTTCCTTGTGACTCAAGGCAGCTTACAAATCATACTGAAAAGCACAATAGGGCTGTTCAAAATATATATTCCCCCTGGCTCCATTGTAGCCTATGGGGACCATTACAGTCCATGGGCCCCAGAGGCTGTAATGAAGAACCAGGGGTATCTGGGGTCTGGGGGGGCTGCTTTTTGAGGTAGAAGCACCAAATTTGCAGCATAGCTGCTGGTGCCTCTCCTCAAACCCCCCCCCAAGTTTCAAAAAGATTGGACCAGGGGGTCCAATTCTGTGAGCCCCAGAAGGAGGTGCACCCATCCTCCACCCCCTAGCGCTGCTTAGATGGAACTCCACGGGCCCCTTGCAGGACGAACGGATGGACGGGAAGGGGGTGTACTTTCTTCCGCTAGCGGCTGCAATGCCCCAGCTCTCTCTGAAGGTCCCCTGCTGCTGGGCTGACCCGCTTCCCATGGAGAGACAGGGTTGGCTGCTCCTTTAACGGCCTGGTGCTTCTTGCCTTCTCAGCTCACTCCGTCTTCGTCTGCCTCTCGCCTTGGACATTTGAGCGATGTCTACCTTGATGAAGACTCCGAACTGGTGAGTGAGCCATGAAGGCCTTGGGGCAGAAGGGGGGAGAACGGCTTTCCCGGGTGGCGGTCCATTAGTGCCAGGGGCGGACCACTGGCCCTGGAAGTCCAAACGGTTTGGACGAGGATTGCAAGGGACGTGTTCTCGTGTCCCACAGGAAATGGATGCCCCCTGCTCCCTCCCCCACGAGATCCCTCACAGTGAGAAGCTCCTGTCCCTCAAGTACGAGGTGAGAAGCCTGCCGTAGCTGTCTTTCCGGTCAGAGACGCGGCATGTATACGGTTTTGCAGGGTCGAGAATCGGAGGCCGTTGCTGCATGTGGGAAACTCCCTGGCAGAACTGGGCTCACGATGATACCACAGGGTGGTGCAATCTTGGGGAACGTATCTTGTGGCTTCCTGGGCAAACGTGGACTCTTGCTTCGCCAACGACGGCTTTTCTATTTCACTTCCTGATTTCATTCAAGCCCTTTCTCTCCCCCCCGCCCCCCCCCCCGGTGTCAATTGCAGAGCTTGGACTACGACAATTGTGAGAACCAGCTCTTCCTGGAAGAGGAGAGGAGGAACCACACGGTGAGTCTAGCCTGAAAAATCTGGGAGGGCGCGGGGAGGGCAGAATGTGACCCCACAGGGCCTTTGGCCGCTCCGAGAGGCCTCTGGCAAGGCCCTGGCAATCTAAACACCGCGCAATGAAGGGTACAGGATCCATCCAGCTTGCATCTCCTCCATCACTTTGACTGTTTCTGGTTTTGCCACTTTTACCAGCCATTTCGGTGGGCACTGACGGGCTGCCCTCAGCCCCTTGCAGTCCGTCAGCCCCCCAACCCCGTTTCCGACTCCAGAGCCTCCTTCCCCGCACCCTTTCAAGCAGAGCTTTGCAACTCTGTGGCATAAAAGTTTTCTCACTCGTTTTTTTTTTAAAAAATGGACCTCGAGGTTCTCCTCGCTGGGCGGAACGTTGGCCCCCGAGGCTCCCCTCGCTGGGCGGAACGTTGGCCCCCGAGGCTCCCCTCGCTGGGCGGAATGTTGGACCCCAAGGCTCCCCTCGCTGGGCGCAACGTTGGCCTCTTGTCAAACCGTGGGTTTTTCCCGTTCCTCGGGGCCATCGTAAAGGCTTGCTGAATGGATGGTTAGAAGGAGGCCCGCAGCCTGCTGAGTGTGACTGTTGCCCCACAGGCCTTCCGGACGGTGGAGATCCGGCGCTGGGTCATCTGCGCTCTGATTGGGATTTTTACCGGCCTCGTCGCCTGCTTCATCGACATCCTAGTGGAACGCCTGGCGGGGCTGAAGTACAAAGTGGTGAAGGGAAGTATCCTTTGGCGGCGCTGGTTGTGGAACTGCAAAGTAGTAGGAGAAAGCTTCTCTGAAAGGAAAAGTCAGACAGGACCAAGTAGAGCCAGTGGTTAAGAATGTCGAACTAGTACCAGGAAGACCCAGATATTCAGTCTGACGGAGCGCACAGTGTGAGCCCCATCTGGCAGGCCTCTGAGGTGGCAGCGAAGGCAGCGAAGGAGACATCTTCCCTCTGCCACCGTCACATCGACTGAATCTCACCTGGCTCCGTGTTTCAAAGAGGTTTCAGGGCTTGATATCACCAGTCCAACCAGTGTTGTTCATTTGGCCCTGAGCAATATTGCTTTGGCAAGGTTTTCTGCTGATAAAGATTTCTCTCCTCTGTTCTGACGCGGAGGCTAGGTTGAGAGCAGATCCAGTCCTTGAGGTGTTGGAAACCCCTGCTCACCCTTTTGTTATGGATAGTTTCAGGTTGATCCTGCCCGAGGATGGGCTGACGGGGGCCTTGGGGGTGTGACTTACAATATCCTGGAGAGCCAGTTTGGTGTAGTGGTTAGGAGCGCGGACTCTAATCTGGGAGAACCGGGTTGGAGTCCCCACTCCTCCACATGCAGCTGCTGGTGTTGCCTTGGGTCAGTCACAAGTTCTTTCGGAGCTGTCCTGTCAAGGTCAGTTCTTGAAAGAGCTCTCTCAGCCCCACCTACCTCACAGGGCGTCTATTGTGGGGAGGGGAAGGGGAAGGAGATTGTAAGCTGCTCTGAGACTCCTTTGGATACTGAAGGGCGGGGTATGAATCCAATCTCTTCTTCTTCCTCCGTTTTATCCTCACGGCAACCCTGCGAGGTACGTTAGGCCGAGCGTGTGTGACCAATGCTCTCTCTAAGCTGTGGAGTCCTGTGAGCAAAAGTTCTACTTTGTGAGCTCCTGGCATTAAAGTTGTGAGCGAGCAATGTGGCTCCTGCAGAAATTAGTTTGCTCTGGAGCCATCCCTTCCTGAGCTAGGACAAAAATGTGTGAGCTGGAGGCTAAAAAACTGTGAGCTAGCTCACGCTAACTCAGCTTAGAGGGAACACTTTATGTGGCTGACCCAAGATCACTGAGTAAGCAATGAATCAAATAAAGGGGAATGGTTGGAAAAATTGCTCAGAGGGGCAGTCGGAAGCCCGGTGTGTAAGGAGAAAGGAACTGAAATGCTATATCATTGCTTGGTCGTAGCTGGGGGTTTGGGTTGTAACGTCTTAGAATACCGTAGTCTGACTGCTCCGGCCTCTCCCCGAGCTTTGTGCAAAGAGTATATGAGACAGCGTGAGGAGGGTCCGTCTGACATAGCTGATGTTCCTCCGTGGGTCAGAGCCCCTCTACCCAGATGGAGGATTGAACCAAAGCCCCTTGTCAGGGTCAACAGCACGCAGGTCCAAACACACTCTTCAGGAAAAGTTATGCTTCATTGGAATACTGTTCTGTTGCCAAGTGGAACAGGTACATTGTCAGGAATGACGATCAGTGCAAGGGACTCGATACATATACTCTGATGCCTCATCTAGCTAAGCAGATGAAACCCAAGCACGCGAATGGGAATTCTCCCGGCGGGACATTACATCATAAACGGGAGACTTTCCCCACCCCCCCTGAGAGCCGAAGTATTCACACTGATAGTGATAGTGGAATGCAAGCCCTCCCTGCACTTTAAGGTTACACTGATAGCGCTGTCTGGCTGAGCCAGTTCGCACGGGGGGAAAGAGCGCCTCACTTATGTTACCCACGGTAGCTATGCAAAGCAAGCAAGTGCGCATGCGGAAAGGTCGGGGATGAAAGAAAACAAAGAAAGCACGGCCGCTAGCTGACACCCCTCTTGCTAGGTTCTTTAACGCACACACCCTTCTTCAGATATCGACAAGTTCACGGAGACCGGAGGCCTGTCTTTCTCGTTGCTTCTCTGGGCCGCCCTCAACGCTGCCGTCGTGATGGTGGGCTCCACGATCGTGGCCTTCGTGGAGGTGAGGCCTCCAGTGTCTGCACCTCGTCCTGCAGGCTTGGCTCGTATGCCTTTATACCTTTCGATTTATTGATCGCTCGTCCTGCAGAGCTGCTGGCTCTGAGCGATTTACAGTTACACAAGTTTTCACAAGGGACTAACAATGATTCATAGGGGGTAAGGGAGGACAACATATAATTCTTTAAATCGCACACTTTTGCAGCCGACGGGGATTTTGTTCAGCTGTAAGCTTCAGGCGTGTTCCAGACGGCATTCACTTTTTCGGCGTGGCTAGATGACGTCAGTTCTTCCAGGACTGCTTTTTGAGTCGTAGCACTGCACTGCCACCGCCTGGCTGGATTGGCTCATCACAGGAAGATGTCTTTTTTCCAGGCTTCCGTTTCGCCGGCTAACACCTCCCCCACGGGGGTTTAGTGTGCCCACCCTCTCTAAGGAGTGGTACCCATTTTATCTACTCGCCGAAGCTTTCGAACCGCTGGGTGAACGGCGAGCTGGGGACAAGGCTGGTAGCTCACACCAGCGCAGGCTAGAACTGACAGCAGCTCTGTTCAGTTCAGATGTTAACCAGAGGATAAATCCTCTGCGCCACCGCTCCCCACCTTGTACGTGGGGCTGTGCAGACCCTTCTCCACGTGGGGCTCTTTGCTGCTCGGCTTTGGCATTTTCTCCCCCATTTTCCTCTGCCCGTTGCCTTCCCTGGACCTGGCAAAAACTTTTTGGGCTCCCAGTAGCTTCGAAGGAAACACTCCTGTTGGTTTGGTTTTTATTGGCTCCTTCGTAGCTATCCTGGGGTTGTTTCCATTTTACCCTTCGTTATATATTTAGTGTTGCACGTCATAGCTTTGTGTTTTTATCTTTCTCGTGACTGGAAACCCTCTTTGAAGGCTCTGAAAGGAGAGGCAGTTTATAAATATTTCCAAAATAACCCCAGAACTGGCCCATTGCCTGTCTTAATAGCCGTGCTGTTTCTCTTCCTGGGAGGGAGGGGTGGGGTGTCCAGCTACTGCACCAACTGAATGGCAGCCTTGTGCCTAGTGGGTGGGGCTGTGGCTCAGTGGTAGAGCCTCTGCTTGGCATGCAGGAGGCCCCAGGCTCAGTCCCCAGAGGCATCTCCAGTTAAAAAGGACCAGGCAGGAGGGGATGGGAGAGACCTCCACCTGAGACCCTGGAGAGCTGTCAAGAGGGGCCATGGCTCAGTGGAAGAGTCTCTGCTTGGCATGCAGGAGGCCCCAGGCTCAGTCCCCAGAGGCATCTCCAGTTAAAAAGGACCAGGCAGGAGGGGATGGGAGAGACCTCCACCTGAGACCCTGGAGAGCTGTCAAGAGGGGCCATGGCTCAGTGGAAGAGTCTCTGCTTGGCATGCAGGAGGCCCCAGGCTCAGTCCCCAGAGGCATCTCCAGTTAAAAAGGACCAGGCAGGAGGGGATGGGAGAGACCTCCACCTGAGACCCTGGAGAGCTGTCAAGAGGGGCCATGGCTCAGTGGAAGAGTCTCTGCTTGGCATGCAGGAGGCCCCAGGCTCAGTCCCCAGAGGCATCTCCAGTTAAAAAGGACCAGGCAGGAGGGGATGGGAGAGACCTCCACCTGAGACCCTGGAGAGCTGTCAAGAGGGGCCATGGCTCAGTGGAAGAGTCTCTGCTTGGCATGCAGGAGGCCCCAGGCTCAGTCCCCAGAGGCATCTCCAGTTAAAAAGGACCAGGCAGGAGGGGATGGGAGAGACCTCCACCTGAGACCCTGGAGAGCTGTCAAGAGGGGCCATGGCTCAGTGGAAGAGTCTCTGCTTGGCATGCAGGAGGCCCCAGGCTCAGTCCCCAGAGGCATCTCCAGTTAAAAAGGACCAGGCAGGAGGGGATGGGAGAGACCTCCACCTGAGACCCTGGAGAGCTGTCAAGAGGGGCCATGGCTCAGTGGAAGAGTCTCTGCTTGGCATGCAGGAGGCCCCAGGCTCAGTCCCCAGAGGCATCTCCAGTTAAAAAGGACCAGGCAGGAGGGGATGGGAGAGACCTCCACCTGAGACCCTGGAGAGCTGTCAAGAGGGGCCATGGCTCAGTGGAAGAGTCTCTGCTTGGCATGCAGGAGGCCCCAGGCTCAGTCCCCAGAGGCATCTCCAGTTAAAAAGGACCAGGCAGGAGGGGATGGGAGAGACCTCCACCTGAGACCCTGGAGAGCTGCTGCCAGTCTGAGTAGACAATACTGTCCGTCACGAACCGATGGTCTGATTGGGTAGAAAGCAGCGTCATGTGCGTTAAGGTACATTTCCTCTGTGTTTGTAGCCGGTGGCTGCTGGCAGTGGCATCCCCCAGATCAAGTGCTATCTCAACGGTGTGAAGATCCCCCACGTGGTCCGCTTGAAGGTAAGAGGCTGTGCGGGGGGTGGGGGGGAGGTTGCACTGTGGAGGCTGCCCCGTGGCCCCCCCGGGGGACTCTCCTGCGGCCCAGCAGGCTCTCTTCCCCCTCCTAGTGCTGGTTCCCAAACACTGACAGAAGGGAGCAGCTGAGAGCCAGTGTGGTCAGAGTGGTCAGACGCGGACCTGGAAGCAGCAGATTCAAATCTTCATTCTGCCGTGGAAGCTTCCTGGATAACCTTGGGCCAGGCACGTGCGGTCAGCCCAATGCACCTCACAGGGTTGTTGTGAGGGTAAGGCTGAGGAGAGGAAGACAATGTAGAAGAAGAAGAGAAGAGATTGAATTTATCCCGCACCCTTCACTCTCCAAAGGAGTCTACATTCCCTTTCCCTGAGAGGGCTCTGAGAGAACGGCTCTTGAGAGAACTTGTGACTGGCCCAAGGTCACCCAGCTGGCTGCATGTGGAGGAGTGAGGAATCAAACCCGGTTCTTCCAGATTTGAGCCAGTTTGGTGTGGTGTTTAAGTGTGCGGACTCTAATCTGGGAGAACCGGGTTTGAGGGAGGGAGGGAGGAGGAGATTGGATTTACACCCCACCCTTCACTACCCGAAGGAGTCTCAGAGCGGCTTACAATCTCCTTTCCCTTCCCCTCCCTACAACAGACACCCTGAGGTAGGTGGGGCTGAAAGAGCTCTGACAGAAACTGCCCTTTCAAGGACAGCTCTGAGAGAACTGTGACTGGCCCAAGGCCAGCTGGCTGCATGTAGAGGAGTGGGGAATCAAACCTGGTTCTTCCAGATTAACCGCTATACCACACTGGCTCTTTGGGTTCCCGTTGGGAAGAAAAGGCAGGGTATAAAAGAAGTCAATAAAATGAAATGGTTTACTTGGGCCTGCTTCCCTTGACATTGGAGTGTACGTTTGTTTGGGACGGAAATGCTAGAATAAGGGCAGATGGCGGACGCTCTCCTTTGGTTAGGCCAGGGCTGTGCCTGATCTCCCCCCCCCCCCCCCCGGCTAGATGGTGAGGGGTTCTCCTGGGTGTGGCTTCTCTTGCAGACGCTGGTGGTCAAAGTCTGTGGCGTGATCCTCTCGGTGGTCGGAGGCCTCGCCGTCGGAAAGGTGAGGAGGACCAGCGAGGGAAACCCCGTCAGCTTCCGGCTTCGCTTCCCAATCTTTCCCAGCAGCTGTGCATGGAGTTTCCCAGCATGCAGCTGCTCAAAGTCCCTCAGAGTTACCCCTCAACCTTCCCAGCTGGGTTCTGGGGTAGAAAGTTGCTTCACCCGCCCTGGGTAGGAATATATTTATGCCAGTCCTGGATCCTGTCGCGGACTCCCTGGAAGGCAGCTTCACGTGTTCGTCCCCCAAGTGACTTGTGGCTCCAAAAGACGGCATCTGCCTTCCTCTAAATCAGGGGTCCCCAATGTTTTTGAGCCTGCAGGGGGCCCCTTTGGAGTTCTGACATAGCGTGGTGGGCGCAGCCACAAAATGGCTGCCAAAGAAGGCGGAGCCAGCCACAAAATGGCTGCCATGGCTTACCTTCACTCACACACTGAGGGTCCTTGTGGCACGGTGGCAGTTGCTGCTGAAGGAATGTTTTTTAAAAATCTGCGCAGCCAATCCGAATCCCCGCTAGGCAAAAGCCTCAGTCGGCCCCGTCCACTTTCTAAAAAGACGTGGCGGGCGCCCGGCACCGTGGTGGTGGTGGAACCACGGCTCTAAATTCTAATTCTCTTCTTTTTAGGAAGGCCCCATGATTCACTCCGGGGCGGTCATCGCGGCTGGTATTTCTCAGGGAAGGTCAACTTCCTTAAAGAGAGACTTCAAGGTGAGTGGCTTCCTATTCCCTGGCCTGCGCTTGGCATGACGAACGAGGGTGGGACGACTCACACAGCCCGTGCTGATTCTTGTTCGGGCAGTATCCTACTTGCAGCATGGCTTGGGTTCTTTCAAAGAGAACGTAGGGGAGGGGCCGTGGCTCAGTGGCAGAGCCTCTGCTTGGCACGCAGAAGGTCCCAGGTTCAGTCCCCGGAAGCATCTCCAGTTAAAAGGGCCAGGCAGGAGGGGATGGGAAAGACCTCCGCCTGAGACCCTAGAGAGCTGTCAAGAGGGGCCGGGGCACAGTGGCAGAGCCTCTGCTTGGCATGCAGAAGGTCCCAGGTTCAATCCCCAGCATCTCCAGTTAAAAGGGCCAGGTAGGAGGGGATGGGAAAGACCTCCGCCTGAGACCCTGGAGAGCTGCAGAGAGGGGCTGTGGCTCAGTGGAAGAGCAACTGCTTGGCATGCAGGAGGTCCCAGGTTCAATCCCCAGCATCTCCAGTTAAAAGGGCTAGGTAGGAGGGGATGGGAAAGACCTCCGCCTGAGACCCTGGAGAGCTGCAAAGAGGGGCTGTGGCTCAGTGGTAGAGCCTCTACTTGGCATGCAGAAGGTCCCAGGTTCAATCCCTGGCAGCATCTCTGGTTAGAAAGGACCAGGCAGGAGGTGATGGGAAAGACCTCCGCCTGAGACCCTCGAGAGCTGTAGAGAGGGGCCGTGGCTCAGTGGCAGAGCCTCTGCTTGGCATGCATAAGGTCCCAAGTTCAATCCCCAGAGGCATCTCCAGTTAAAAGGGCCAGGTAGGAGGTGATGGGAAAGACCTCCGCCTGAGACCCTGGAGAGAGCCCCTGCCAGTCTGAGTAGACAAGACTGGGCTTGATGGACCGATGTTCTGACTGGTTATCGGGCAGCTTTTTCTGTAATGTAGGGGAGTCAGGGTGGCATCGATACCTCAAGGGTCATAATCCTTTGACACGGATATTTCCAACGGGTCTGTGTTTGCTGTTCCGTTTATTAATTGAAATACTTATATCCTGCTCAAAGTGGCTTACAAAACATGCAGAATAAACTAAACCCCCGAGTAACTAACCCCTCCCCACCCCCTAATCTGTAGGCTACACCCCGTTAAGAGCCCTAGCAGGTAACGTAGCTTTGCAGCGTCTCCTGAAGCCTTCTAGAGACAGGGTTCCCCTTGCTTCTTCAGGGAGCGCGTTACACTAATGTTGTAACTGCAAGTTGACCAAGTGTGGGTGTTAGCATGGCTGGATCGTCAGAGTCTAGGAGAGGAGAGAGCTGGCAAGCTGGAGGCAGATGATAGAAGGCGGTCTTAGCAAGTATTCCCTCTAAGCCGAGTCATTGTGAGCCAGCTCACTGTTTTTTAGCCTCCGGCTCACACAATTTAGTCTCGGCTCAGGAAGGAGGTGGCTCCAGAGCAAACTAAGTCATGCAGTGGACAAATCGCTCGCTCACAACTTTTAATGCCAGTAGTTTGCAAAGTGGAATTTTTGCTCACGAGACTCCACAGCTTAGAGGCAGCATTGGTTCTTAGCCCCTGCGCCAACCTGGCTTCCCGAAGGCAAGGCTGGGTCCGTAAGCCCCCTAAGTTCTTCCCCTGCTCTGCAAACATCAACTCCCCATCAATGCGCCCTCTAAGCGGTGGGGTCTTGTGAGCAACAATTCTACTTTGTGAGCTGCTGGCATTTAAGCAAGCGATTTGGCTGCTGCATAAATCAGTCTGCTCTGGAGCCACATCCTTCCTGAGCTGAGACAAAAAGTGGGTGGGCTGGAGGCTAAAAAACTGTGAGCCAGCTCACACTAACTCATCTTAGAGGGAACACTGGCTGCACTGCTCCCTCTAAGCTGTGGAGTCTCGTGAGCAAAAATCCTACTTTGTGAACTACTGACATTAAAGCTGTGAGCGAGCGATTTGGCTGCTGCATGAATTAGTTTGCTCTGGAGCCACATCCTTCCTGAGCTGAGACAAAAATGTGTGGGCTGGAGGCTAAAAAACTGTGAGCTGACTCACACTAACTCATCTTAGAGGGAACACTGCAGTCCCCACTATCTGGAACAAACATGATCTAATCCTTCCAAAGCATCAGCCTTCCTGACCGGTGTTATCTCCCCTCTCCTGTCTGGATCCAGCTTCGACTCGTCCTCTCTCTCCGCGCCACCTTTTATTGACTCCGACGATTGAGCGCTCCTGTTTTATGGCTGCGTTTTACGGCTGTGCGGCATTTCAGAATTTGCTTTGTTGCTCTTTGATGTGTGTGATCTGAATGCGGCATTAAGTATTTCTCTTTTCGAGCTGCACCGAGTGTCGTTCTCAGTTGGGGGCAGATAAAAATCCCTCCAAGCAAACCCATCCGATCGGGGCTTGGCTTGCTTTTTCAGATCTTCGAGTACTTCCGGAGGGACACGGAGAAGAGGGACTTCGTCTCGGCCGGAGCTGCGGCGGGCGTCTCGGCTGCCTTTGGAGCCCCCGTTGGTAAAAGCATTCCCCCGTTTTCTGCCTCTTCCGGACTGGGCCTCTCTCAGCGGAGCTGCCCCACTGTTACCTCCCCAGAAGGCATGGGGGGCAAAGACCAGGAAGGGCCCTTGGGTCTCTGGCCGCACTCTCTCCTCCCTAGCTCTTTTCAAGCATTACTGGTGTTGTACGCACAGTCTATATGTGACACTGTTATGCACTCAGCACTCTGTCTGCCTTAGTAGACTAACCTTAGTGGACTCAGCTAGCACCTGTGACATACACAGACATACAGATATGTTAAGTGCCATTGATGATTCTAATTACAGAGATAGAAATCAATCATGAATATATATTCAGGTATTCACTTTGGTTCAATGCTTAAATGCATTCCGGGGGAAATGCTAAATGCTAGCAGGCAGCAACTGATTGCTGATGACCTTGCTCGTGATGGCTAGCTGTGACTGCGCATGTTCCTGGTGTCAGCTCACTTGCGTTAGATGGAGAACATACTGCATGATGTACCCGTATCTGTTACATTAGATACTTTTTGGAACTTCACAGCCTGAAGAGAAGAAGGCCTATTGTTTAGCTGTAGGGGGTGCATTTTTGCCTGTAAAAATGCAACCCAGAGGTTCGGGCCCAATCAGAATGGTGTGACGGATATATGACAAAGTTTGATGGAACCAATAATTCTGATTTATTTGCAAAGCGTCATAGTGGGTTTAAAACCCGATGTCTTCTATTGTAACCTTAGGGAAGAGCTGTGGGTACTCGAGGATTCAAAACCTTGTTGTGCCTGTATTTTCCCCTCCTTTATTAATAAAGTTGTTAGCCTGGATTCTACTCTACGGGACTGTGCCGAGTGCTTTCTCAAATTGGGCTGGGGAAGCACAACCCGTGACGGAGTTCCTGTCTTACACTGGGTTAGGGTTTGCAGAATGTTTGCAGAAACTCTGTCCATGACGGAGTTTCTGTCTTAGACTGGGTGTTTAGTTTGCAGAATGTATGTATGTATGTATGTAGAAGGGATCTTTAACTTTTCAGGCAATATAAATATCACAAAACAAGATAAAATCATTCACCCTTAGCTTGTCAAGGAAGGGGAAAGTTTCTTACATTCCTCTATGTGCTGTCAGAAGGTAAACAGAGCAGATAAGCCTCCGATTAGCACTTTGGGGCTATCAGGTCAGGGCATGCCCCCTCTGCTTGGCCGCCCTGGAATGCTCAGAAAGTAAAGGTTGGTTCTTGTGTGCGCCAGTCTGGCGGCTGCCCAGATGAGGTGGCATCAGAATTGGCCTCTTTCTTCATGAAAACATTTATACCCCGTCTTTCCTTGAGGTTCAAGGCAGCTTACAGTAATACTTCAAAAACGTTTCCAATTAAACCAGAATAAAATAACACCCCCCCCTCCCAGTCTTTGTCTCCTGTCAAAGATGCCTGCCTGCCACTCAAATGCCCGGCGGGAGTTTGTTCTGCAAGCCCTGGTGTGAGCGGCATTGCAGACACTTGGCCACAGCGTCTTGTTTTGTTTGTGTTTGTTTATTTCATTGGATTTCTTAACTGCCCTTCCCCGCTTACGCCAGTTTGCTGCAGTGGTTAAGTGCATGAACTCTAATCTGGGAGAACCAGGTTTGATTCCCCACTCCTCCACAAGCAGTTGCTGGATGACCTTGGGCCAGCCATAGTTCCCTCAGAGCTGTTCTCTCACGGGCAGTTCTTGAAGGAGCTCTCTCAGCCCCCACCTGCCTCACAGGGTGCCTGTTGTGGGGAGGGGAAGGGAAAGGAGATTGTAAGCCGCTCTGAGACTCTGAGTGAAGGGCGGGGGATAAATCCAATCTCCTCCTCCTCTTCTTCATCATCATCATCATCATCATCATCATCTTCTTCTTCTTCTTCTTCTTCATCTTCATCTTCTTCTGGCTCAGGGTGGTTTACAACAAGATAGTTCCATGCAGTTATGAAACAAATCAAAACCATAAACATACAATATTAAAACAACAAACATACATTTTAAACATTCCAATAACAGATGGCCTGTCTAGCATTCAGTTTTTTTTTGGGGGGGGGGGGGGCCCCGGGCAGATGTAGGAAAAACTGTCGCTGCCCTCCACCGAAGGCCTGGCGGAAGTCCCGGGCAGATGTAGGAAAAACTGTCGCTGGCCTCCACCGAAGGCCTGGCGGAACATCTTTGCCTTGCATGCCCTGCGGAACTGTGATAGATCAGGCAGGGCACGGGTGTCATTCGGCCGATAGTTCCGCCAGGCTGGAGCGCCAGGGCTGAGAAGGCCCCGGATATCTTTGTGGTCTCGGAGGGAAGCCTTTTGCGGCAAGTGGGTCTCCCAAGACTTGGAGCAGAGTGGTCCGTTCCTGGGCCCCCCGGCTGCAGCTGCAGGCCCTCCTGCCCTGATGGCGCAAAGCCAGCTGTAGGGGACTCGGGAAGCTGGGCACGTGTACCTCGAGGGATCCGGGCACTGCCTCACTCTCCCTTCTTTCCCTTGGCCAGGCGGCGTGTTGTTCAGCTTGGAGGAAGGCGCCTCCTTTTGGAACCAGTTCCTGACCTGGAGGATTGTGAGTCCGACCGACCGATTGCCGGGTCCTTCCGTGGGGGGCTGGGGAGCCAGGCGCGAGCCCCCCACCGGCCGTCCCGGGCCGTGAACGCTCTGTCCCGCGTCTCTCCCTGCAGTTCTTCGCCTCCATGATCTCGACCTTCACCTTGAATTCCATCCTGAGCATCTACCACGGCAACCCGTGGGACCTGTCCAGTCCGGGGCTCATCAATTTCGGCCGCTTTGATACCGAGGTAAAACCTGCACCTTTGTAAGTTTCATCTGGGAAGTGGGGAAACCACCCTCCTCCCCACCCTCCTCTGAGAGTGGGGCAGAGGGATCCAGTGGCTGCCGGGAGGAGCTGTAGCTGAGGGCCGGGGGATGCAATGGTGGCCCCATCGCCTTTGGCAGGATCGGTGTCCTGGCCCATGGAACTCACATCTCTCTCTCTTTTCCTTCCTTCCTTCCTTCCTTCCTTCCTTCCTTCCTTCCTTCCTTCCTTCCTTCCTCTTTAACAGAAGATGGGGTACACCATCCAAGAAATCCCGATCTTCATATTCATGGGAGTGGTGGGTAAGAACCCCGCAGCCTTTTAGAACGGAATGATTGTGGATGTCTCTGCGTGAGTCTTGATCCCATTCTGAACTCTGCTCTGAGCCTCTGGGGGTCCTTGGAAGCTTAAAAGGGGGCGGGGGCTCCCCTGGCCATGGGAGGGGTGAAACTATCACGAGCTGGACATGGGAGACGGGTACGACTGGGCGGCCGTGGCCAGCAGAAATAGTTCTGTGCCTGCAGCTTCATCATCGTCCTTTTCCCAGGGTGGGAAAGAAAGTCTCCTTGCTGTGTTCGTTCTCGATACTGCTGGCTGCTCTTCCGCACAGAGTCTAATTCCAAGGAAACCCAGTCCTCGCTGGCTCTGGCTCTGGCCCGTCCTGTTGCGGAGATCGGGGCGTGACGCTGGATGCCCAGGGCAGAAGTGTGGGTTTCTGCATTTTCAAGGATCCAGGCAGTGTAGTTGTGATGTCATGGTTAGCGCAATCAAGCTGGGGTCAGGGGAGACCGAGATTCGAATCCCCACGCTTGGCCTTGAACCTCTCCGAATGAGCTCGGGCCGGTTGCTCTCTTTTGGCCTGGCCTACCTCACAGGGTCGTTGTGAGGATAAAATGGAGGCGCGGGAGGATAAAAATGTGACGGGTGGATCTTCCTGGCTGCAGATGCCCCAAGGAGGTGGGGAAAGAGGGTTTTCTGACCCACAACTAAAACTCCGGTGTCCTCCTCTTGCAAACTGACCTTGTTTCGGGGGGGACTGGCTCTGTTCCCCAGCAGGTCTGCCTGCCCTGTGCCCGTCTTTCCCCTCCTTGCACGCGAGCTGCGATTCCCGCCTTTCCCCAGCTCTTTCCTCTCTCCCGGCTGCAGGTGGGATTCTCGGCGCCACGTTCAACGCCTTGAACTACTGGCTGACCATGTTCCGGATCAGGTGAGCGCTGGGCACTGCTGCTGTGCAGGGTGGGAAAGCAACCCCATCCTTACGCTTCAGCCCGAAAAACGTTCCGTTTGCAAACTGCTGGCGCTCAACCCCCCCTCCCCCCACCCAGCTTTGTCGCTGTTGAAGCCATTTTTTTTTGTAATCCAGCCTGGAATTCCACTTCTGCCAGAGGCCTGCGATTCCGCTTTCTAACGGTTCAGCCTTCTGCCGACTCCCAAGTGGTTTCTCTTGCGGCCGGGTTCCTGTTACAGCATCGGAACAGCTGGGCTGCATGGCCACCACCTAACTGGGAAGCAGCCAGGGCTGGGGAGAGGCTGCTGCCTGCGGCTTGCGTTTGAAGGCCCGCGGGTGCCCGTGGGAGCCTCCAGGCCCATGGAGGGGGGGGGAGAACAGAAAGACTCAAGTCATCAGTCAGACAGAATCTCCCACCCCAATAAGCTGGAGGGTCTTTTGTGACTTACAACTCCTAGAGGTGTAACTGCGAAATGTCCGTGGAAATAGAGCATTGTATCTGTTAGAATGGAGTCTGGCTCAGTGGTTAAGATGCTGAACTGCAGGCTGGAAGGTCGGTAGTTCAGCAGTTCGAGACCCGAGTGCCGCGTGACGGAGTGAGCTACCATCTCTGGCCTCAGCTCCTGCCAACCTAGCAGTTCAAAAGCAAGAACTTGCAAGTAGAGAAATAGGTACCGCTTCGGTGGGAAGGTGACAGCGTTCCGTGCGCCTCGGCATCTAGTCATGACCACGGAAACGTCTTCAGACAGCGCTGGCTCTTCAGCTTGGAAACGGAGATGAGCACTGCAACCCTAGAGTCGGATTTGACTGGCTTTCGGGCAATGTTTCAATGTCTCTTGGGAGCCAGTTTGGTGAAGTGGTTAGGAGCGCGGACTCTAATCTGGGAGAACCGGGGTTGATTCCCCACTCCTCCACATGCAGCTGCTGGTGTGACCTTGGGTCAGTCACAAGTTCATTCAGAGCTTTTCTCTCAGGAGCCGTTCCTGTCAGAGCTCCCTCAGCCCCACCTCCCTCACAGGGTGCCTGTTGTGGGGAGGGGAAGGGAAAGGAGATTGTAACGCCCTCTGAGACTCCAAGTGAAAGGCGGGGTATAAATCCAATCTCCTCTTCTTTGGAATGGTGCTGGGTGCAGAGGGCTGGGTGACAGTTCCATTCCGATGCCTGTGGGGCAGGATGAGTTCTCCCCACCCCTTAGGAAGAGGCAAAGTTTATATGCCTTTTATCTGGGCCTCCAGGGCTAGCTCGGGAGCCAGCCACTGGGGGCCCCAGAAGACTCTCTGTCCAGTGGGCTCTGGGTGGCTTTTCCTCAGTGCTCTTGAGTACATCGTCTGTAGGGTCAGGGAAGGAGACCTTCCCCTTCCCTCTGGGCCCTCTCTTGATAAGGGGAGACTAGACGGACTCACAGAGGGGAGAAGTCTGTCAGTGGCTACTTGCCACAGTGGAACCTCCAGTTCAGAGGCACTAAGCCTCTGAATCCCAGAGCCAGGAGGCAACATGAGGGGAAGGCCTCGGCCTCTCTGCCCTCTTTGTTTGGCCCTTGAGAACAATTGATTGGCCACTCTGTGAGGCAGGAGGCTGGCAGCCAACCTCTGAATCCCAGTGCCAAGAGTCAACACAAGGGAAAAGCCTCGGCCTCTCTGCTCTGTGGTTGGCCCTCCAGAGGAACTGGTTGGCCACTGTGTGAGACGGGAGGCTGGACTAGATGGACGTCTGAGGTTCTTCTCAGAGGAAGGCCTCAGGCTCTGTGCCCTGTTGCTGGCCCTCCAGAGGAACTGGTTGGGCACTGTGTGAGATGGGAGGCTGGACTGGAGGGACCCTCCCTGGTCTGATCCAGCAGGGCTCTTCTGGTGTTCTTCTCAGAGGAAGGCCTCGGCCTCTGTGCCCTGTTGCTGGCCCTGCAGAGGAACCAGTTGGCCCCTGTGTCAGACAGGATGCTGGACTAGATGGACCCTCCCTAGTCTGATCCAGCAGGGCTCTTCTGATGTTCTTCTCAGGGGAAGGCCTCAGCCTCTCTGCCCTGTTGATGGCCCTCCAGAGGAACTGGCTGGCCCCCGTGTGAGACGGGAGGCTGGACTAGATGGACCCTCCCTGGTCTGATCCAGCAGGGCTCTTCTGATGCTCTCCTCAGGGGAAGGCCTCAGCCTCTCTGCCCTGTGGTTGGCCCTCCAGAGGAACTGGTTGGCCACTGTGTGAGATGGGAGGCTGGACTAGATGGACGTCTGAGGTTCTTCTCAGAGGAAGGCCTCAGGCTCTGTGCCCTGTTGCTGGCCCTCCAGGGGAACTGGTTGGCCCCTGTGTGAGATGGGAGGCTGGACTGGATGGACCCTCTCTGGTCCAATCCAGCAGGGCTCTTCTGGTGTTCTTCTCAGAGGAAGGCCTCGGCCTCTATGCCCTGTTGCTGGCCCTCCAGAGGAACTGGCTGGCCCATGTGTGAGACGGGAGGCTGGACTGGAGGGACCCTCCCTGGTCTGACCCAGCAGGGCTCTTCTGGTGTTCTTGTCAGGAAAAGGCCTCGGCCTCTCTGCCCTGTTGCTGGCCCTCCAGAGGAACTGGCTGGGCCTGTGTGAGACGGGATGCTGGGCTAGATGGACCCTCACTGGTCTGACCCAGCAGGGCTCTTCTGATGTTCTTCTCAGGGGAAGGCCTCGGTCTCTGTGCCCTGGGAACTGGTTGGCCCCTGTGTGAGACGGGAGGCGGGACTAGATGGACCCTCACCATCTATATCTCAGCCCCACCTACCTCACAGGGTGTCTGCTTGTCAGAACCCACAGCCAACAACGAAGTACACGGATTCAAGAACGGTAATACTTTTATTGCAGAGCTATAGATGCAGTAACACAGGCACTGTTAAGAATGGCAGCGGCCCCATGGGCATAATCGGATATAGGGTATTCGTATGCACACACACACACCCAGACCACTGGCCAGTTAGGGACCCTCCTGCGCACGGGATAAAGCTTTGAGACTGTTAGGTAGCTAAAGCGGAGAACCGACACTCTCCCACGGCACCTAGGAGAAACCCAGACAGTACAACTCCCTCCTGCACATCTGTATAGATAAGCATTTCGGCGCAAAGCAGAACAAGCACAGGAAGGAAGGCAGTAGCCATTAACCAGACACAGACCGAGCTGCCCAACCCCCATGGCAGCGTAGCTGACACTGCTGTGGGGAGAGGAAGGTGATTGCAAGCTGCTCCGAGACTCTGAGTGAAGGGTGGGGTATAAAAACCAGCTCTTCTTCTTCTCTGCCCAGCGAGCCCTTTGCGTTCTAATGTTGACAGCTCTTGCTCCGTAGGTACATCCACCGCCCCTGCCTGCAGGTCCTGGAGGCCATGCTGGTGGGGGCCGTGACGGCGGCGGTGGGGTTCGTGATGATCTACAGCTCCCAAGACTGCCAGCCCCTCCAAGGCAACCGGGTGACCTACCCCCTGCAGGTGAGGCTGCAAGCGGAGTCAGGCGACCTATAGCGGGAAGCTTCCTCCAAGTGCGTTGGTGGTCCCTGGGGAGGGGAGAGCCAGCTGCGGTGTCATGGTTAAGAGCGGCAGGACTCTAATCTGGAGAACTGGGTTTGATTCCCCACTCCTCCTCCACACGAAGCCAGCTGGGTGGCCTTGGGCCAGTCACAAGTTCTCCCAGAGCTCTCTCGGCCTCTAAAAACAAGTCTAGCTCGCCACCTAGTGGTGCACAACACTAAAAGAGCTAGGACTTCAGGCTGCCAGACAATGTTAGGATCTCCTGGCTGTACTACACACAATGCAATATGATAATGATTATTATTAGATGCTGGAGGGACCTGCCAGTGGAAGGGATCGGTCAGTCCCAAGTTCTGTCACAGCTGTTCTTGAAAGAGTAGTCCTCGAGAGAGCTCTCTCAGTCCCACCTACCTCACAGTGGCCAAAAATACCAGGTGCCATCAGGAGGTCCAGCAGTGGGGCCAGGACACTAGAAGCCCTCCCACTGTGCCAGTTTGGTGTAGTGGTTAAGAGCGGTGAACTCTAATCTGGGAGAACCGGGTTTGATTCCCTACTCCTCCTCCACTTGCAGCTGCTGGACTGACCTTGGGTCAGTCACAAGTTCCCTCAGAGCTGTTCTCTTAAGGGCAGTTCCTGTCAAGAGCTCTCTCAGCCCCACCTACCTCACAGGGTGTCTGTTGTGGGGAGGGGAAAGGAAAGGAGTTTATAAGCCGCTCTGAGACTCCGAGTGAAGGGCGGGGTATAAATCCAATCTCTTCCTCTTCTTCCGCCTCCTCTCCCCCCCCCCCCGGCTTTAGGAAGGGTGGAGGGCGTTGGAGTTTGTGTGGCATTGTCAAAAAGCTGCTCGCTCCCTCCCCAGTTTTGTTACCCCTGCGGATTAATTCCTCCCCTCCCCCTTATTCTCTTCCCTCCAGCTGTTCTGTGCTGACGGCGAATACAACTCGATGGCCACGGCCTTCTTCAACACGCCTGAGAAGAGCGTGGTCAGCCTCTTCCACGACCCTCCAGGTCAGTCCCTTCCCAAGTGTCAACGGCTGGGTTTGTGCGGCTCAAGAGAGGCATCTCCCCCC